ATGTATCGAGGTTGATTGCTCTCTTCCACCCACCCCCTGGCCTTGCGCAAGGTGGAAGCTGGCATGCGAGGGCTGAAGGACCTAGGATGGAGTCAGGATCCCCGAGACAAGCGTCCTCCCTGCCCCGCTGAGGAGGATGAGTGGCCTTGCAAAGGGGAAGGTGTGAAGGGGAAGGCACCACAGCAACGACGATGGAAGACACTGCACGCCAACATGGAAGGTGATGCACTTTTATTTCTTAACTCAACCCCAGACAAGGGCTGGGAGATGTTCCCAACCTGGGGTGCTGCTCACCCCTCATTTTCCCCCACAGAACCCGACAACTCCCTGAAAGCCGGGGGGATGCCGTGGCCTCCCACTGGGCCCCCTGCAGCCTCCCTGGAGGGTGCCAGGGGCCGTGCCGTCCCCATCCCGCTGCAGCTGGGGCGCCGGCGGTAGCTGCCAGCAAGCAGGGTGTAGAAGAAGGGGTTGACACAGCTGTTGCCATAGGCCAGGCAGGTGACACCAAAGTTGAGGTAGGCCTGGGCAGTGGGGCCGATGCCCAGCCCCTCACCTCGGTACAGCCCGGCCAGCTGCCAGGCCCAGAAGGGGAGGAAGCAGGCCCAGTAGGCCACCACAATGGTGGAGATCCTGGAAAAGAGCCGCCGGGTGGGGGCCCGGCCAGCCACCGGCAGCCCCGGGCCCCAGGCGGAGGACCGGTATGCCCGGGCCAGGCGGGCATAGACAACGCCCAGCACCATGCCAGGCACCAGGACGCTGGTGGCGAAGAGCACCGTCAGGTAGAGCCGGAAGGCCACTGGTGTCCAGGTGGGGACGCAGATGCGCTTGCGGGGGCCGCCTCCCTCCCGCAGCTGGGTCATCGCCATCATGGGGGCCGTAAGCAGGAGTGAGAGGAGCCAGAGGACAGCGCTGGCCAGCTTGCGGTAAGCGTTGCCGGCCCGCCTGGCTCGCAGTGGCCTGGCCACCGCCCAGTACCTCTCCAGGCTCATGGCGGTCAGGAGGAAGATGCTGGCATGCATGGTGAGGAGGTCCAGGCTGAGCAAAAGCCTGCAGCCCACATCCCCAAAGAACCAGTCATGGGCGAAGTAGGTGCAGACCACAAAGGGGATGGTGGAGAGGTACAGGAGGTCAGCCAGGGCGAGGTTGATCACATAGACCCCCAAGGAGCCTGCTGAGCGGCCCGCCACCCTGCCAGAGGCCACCACCACTGTGTAGATGTTCCCCACCATCCCAGTGAGGCACATGACCAGCAGCACTGCACCCAGCGGCCCCGTGACTGGGCTGTCCCCTCCCAGGACACCACTGCCGTCACCCTCGCCACTGCTTTCCTCCGAGAAGCTGCCACCCTCAGGATCCTCTCCAGGTCTTGCGCTGATGGGGGAAGGAACACAAGACATCTTTGGGTAGAGCAAGCAAGAGCAAGTCAGGCTGTCAGAGACCTCTGCCTTCCCCCTACGCTGTATGGGACACGTCTAGCCTTAACACGAGAGGGGAGAATGGCGAGAGTTCAGCAGACATAGGGTACTCCAGAGAAGTCTATTCCTCACCTCCAGCCACCCAGTCCATTTTGCTGATCTTGTCCATCACAAGCTCTGTCCGGTAGTTTTCCTTAACCACCAAAGGGCTGAGAAGGGGACACCTCCCTCCCCTTCAAGACCGATAGGTGCAAAATAACCTCTGCCAGCCAGGAGGAAACGTCTCTGGTCTTCACCAGCTCCTCGCTTGTTGGTTCTCCAGCGTTTGCTGGGCCCACAGAAACCAGCAGAGTCAGTGGACAAGTGGATTTCTCCTTCTCCCAGGTCTGTGTCCTCTCAGCTCAGAGAAACACTGGAGAGGTGGGCTCTGCCCCCCCCCCGAACCAGCCCCTGGAGAGTTGCCTTGCCCACTGCACAGAGGAATGTGTCTGACTCACAGCTTCACACACCAGTGTGAACACAGTCCCAGTTTATACTGGGCTCTTAACCACTAGCTGAGGAGCCGTGCTGGCTTCCTCCTCTTTCTTACAGACGTGTTCCTTCTTCTCCAGTGCCTTCCTCCAGCTACCTCTTCCTTCTTGTTCTTTTTTCCCTTTCTTTTTCTCATTTCCCCTTGCACAGTTTTCCTCATTTGAAAGAGGATATAGCTGAAAGCCAAGACTCCCTAATGTGGCAGGGGGGAAAACCAGCGCACTGTGGCTTTAGAAGGGAAGCAAGGGCCAGCCCTGAAAGTGCAATAGGCAGTGAGTTGCCACACTGCTCTCCTTGGCCTCTAGCCAAGCCTGGCTAAGAGGGCATGTCCCCCACTCCCTTCCAAGGACATCAGGACCCCTTGAGGTGTAAACAATGGATGTAGCCCCCAGTTTGCAAGCAAGCCCACCAGATAGTAGGACATCTCACATTTTCTATGACCTGGCCCTGTTCCATCCTTGTCCCCCAGGCAGCAACAAGCTCCTAGAGACTCAAAGGGCTGGATATTTTAGACCTACTCCCTCTCCCCAAAGACCATCCTCCTTCTCTAAGCTTTCCCCCTCCTTCCCTCGAACCCCCAGGACCTGCTGCCTCACCTCAGAGCAGGGAGCAGAAGCCTGTTAGGCACCGTTGCCTTCTGGTGGGGCATCACTGCATGTCACCTATGCTCCCACACTTCTGCGCCCAATGCTACTCTGCTTGCTCTTCACCCACATCCAAGCCTCATTCGTCTCAGGGAACAGGCACGGTGGGACAGAATTTGCAGAGCAGAGACACATGCGCCATTACTAAATGTGCTGCTGTTAGTTCACAGGGGTTTTCAGGCCACTCCAGCCATGCTCTTTTGCATTGTCAGCATTAACTTTGTTGTGGCCGAGTCAAATGCCTCCACTTATCTCCAGCAGCGATAAGTCAGCAGCAAACAGGAGAAGGAAGCATCCCATTGGTACTGCCCTCGCTGCAGTAGGATCCAAGCACCTTCCCAAGCAATGATGTGCTGCATGCCACAGTAACAGCTTCAGCATGACTGTGCCACAGGAGTGGGCGTATAGCACATACGCATATATAGGGCATTGATGGAGGCAACTTGGGAGGCCTCCCTCTGGGTTATCTCTGCAGCTCTTGGCACGTCTGGGTCACTCTCTCTACTCCTCTTCCCAGAGGAGAACTGAACGTGCAGGTTGTTTAGGTGGGGCTTGAGCTTTTTTTTAATGGGCTGCCCCATTTTCATGTTATCAGAACCAAGAGGCACTTTGTTTTGGAACACAAGCTTTGCAATGGCTTTCAGTTTTTAGGACAGTCATGCTCCTAACTGGGAGAGATCAGCAAACTGCAGTGAAAATATACTTTTGGGTGGAATGCTCCATTGTGCCATGGCAGCAGATGAGTGATGCTGCTTCTCATCCAGGAAGTTGATGCTCCCAACTGGTTGTGGTGGTCTCAGCACAGAGAGGGGTCCACAGAGAAGCAGAGGGGGACCATGACTTTGCCCATTTGGCTCTGATGGAAAGATTCACAGTCCACGTGCCCCAGGAAATGCAGTGAATAGCCATGGCTCCTTGCTCTGAATATCTGTGCTTTTTTTCAAGAAATGACCTCATGCCTTTGCAGTTAGCAGCTCAGCTCGTTTAGGAAGTTAAAATAAATTACAATAGGATTTTTTTATTCATTTCTTTAGGAGCTAATTAAAATTCTCATTGCCTCATTAATTCCAGTTAGCTCCCCTTAACACAGGAGATGCCTGCTCTCACACTGCCTGCGTAAAACTGCAGACACATCAGATACTACAGTCATCAGCAGAACTCAGCTGGTCCTTCCAGCATGTGAAACACAGCTCTCCCAGGAGAGCTTTAAGAGATGATCTTTAAGATATGAATCATGGGTTGATTTAGTGGTTAGGGCTAACTGTTACTAGAAGGACATGAACATACAGACTTCCCTGTTATACTACTGCATAAAATTATATGTTTGTGTGATATACAAAATATACATATGTAATGTATAGGGTAGAATGAAAGTGCCAGGCCTTTGACATACAGAGAATGAGGGAGCAGAGCTCCATGTATTACCATCTTCAGACATCAACCCCTAGGCTCCAGTAAAGACAACAGAGTCTGAACTGTCTCATGATACATGAGACACGCCATAAGCTGCTCTCTGCAGGACCCAATCTCTCTCCATTGGTTTGACTAGAGACTCAGATTTGACAGCTGAACTTCAATGGCGTGAATATCCCTCACAGTGTCTTCCTTCTGGCAGCATTCCACCTCCCACCACTTTTTGTTATGTGCACACACACACACACATATTATCCACATACACACATGTATACACACACATTAGTTTTGAGCGGATCTCTTAATCTTCTCTGTAGGAACCGGAGGAAGGTCTCTACCCAAATGTGGTCTGAAGAAGCTTTCAAGCCCATATATGGCAGGAGGAAACAGGCCTCAAATTTGGCTGTTAGATTACATCTTTTAAGTGACCTTTCTCAACTACAGCTCCAACTGATCAAATATCTAGATGTTCCACATCTCTGTCATCAGAAGAGAAGCCATTTCTTGCAAAATGAACATTTTGAATGTTTGAATGGCAAAACGAAGCCATTTCTTGCAAACCCAGGAACAGTCTCTCCTAGCCCAGCAGCCCCTGCAACCCACTGGGGTGTAGCTCCAGCCAGGCAGCTGTTTTCTTGCGTAAGGTAGGTGGCTGTCTGCAGTTTCATGCAGGAGTGATGCTAGGTCCCATGTCCAAGACAGCAAGTGCCAAGTTTTCAAGGCCCCATTGACAGGCAAGGCCTGCCAGCATCCAGTCAGATCACAGCAATTTAACAGTGACAGGTTGCTCTGAGGATTCAGACTCACAAAATCTTGCACTTGAAAGGAAGCAGCTTAATTTGGCTCCCAGAACAAAGTGGACCGTCTATAGGGAAAAAAAGTGCTTCAAAGAATGCTTCAAGGGCACTGTGTTTCTCTGATGTCAATCTCCTCTCCTGACAGCCCACCCAACAGGACCAGGTAGAGTCGAGTCATAGCGAGGTTCCCGCATGGCTTCCTAGGATTTAAACTTGAAGTAGGCTTCAACTGTAGTGAAGGAAAAAAGTGGTACATTAGGGCAATACCCTGAACCGGAGTGGCAGGAGGGGAAGGAAACAGCATCCAGGCACTTACTTGCATATTCCTGTGGTGTCATGGCCTGGTTGATGACGCTAGTGAAGGCTGCGATCCAGTCCAACTGGTCAGTCTCTGTCTCACAGGTGAAGAGGTATTCCCGGTCAGGGGTGACAATGGTGAGGCCATAGTGCCAAGAGAAGTTGCCCTGTGTCCCCGAAGGCAATCCCTTCTGGACGCTATAGCCATTCTCTCTGCTGCCCACAAATACCTCACCCTTAGCAAATGCATCCTGCACATCAGGAGGGAAAGAGAGGAATTTACCGAATCAGGGAATAACAGCAGTGCACCTAAGGACAGGAGGAGAGTGGGTGAAGACCAGGGATGTAGCAGCAAAAAGATTTGAAGGTGGTAAGGGAATTCAGAAAAGCAGGAAGGCTATGCTCAAAGGCAGCGGCGGAAAGGAAAATTTAAGAGCGTAGATCTTGAGAAGTCTGAGAGAGGAACTGCTGCTCCTGTCTCTCCACGTCACCCCCCATGCCACTCTCCTCCCCATCACCACCTTTACACCGCTGCCCTCCCTGTTACCATTGTCTGCAGGCAGTGAAACAAACACAGAAAGCATGGGATGAACTAAGCGGGACGGGAAGGGGAAGACCTAGAGTCCGTTCAGAGCAGCTGGGGAACCTGCAAGCCTCCCTTACTGCAGAGCAAAGACTCTGGTTGCACTTTGACCCTGCCCTCAGCACTGTTGCCTGCAGCTGCCAGAGGTCACATCTCCCCCTCACCAAAGGGTCCTTGAAGTACATGAGCCTGCGGTGATCCAGCGTGAACCAGCGCTTCTTAAAAGCCTCTCTCTGCTGTGAAGGGAAGAGGTGACATATGTAAGGGGACAGCGCCCTCTGCCGTGAGCAGTGCGAATGGATACCCAAAATTCATCCCAACCACTTGAACCACGCCCCTGCCTTAACTGCAACCTCCTCCTCACCCTTTCTGAGCTGAGAGTGGGGATCAGTATCGGGTTTTTCAGTCCCAACTGCTGTCCCCAACTCTTGGACTTCTTTGAAGGACCCCAGAGTTGAGACAGGAGAAATCTAGACGCTAAATACCTGTAAGGTCACGCACACACAGACACATGCAGAGAGATCTGTTGTTCTGGGAGAAAGCAGGGACTCTGGCTTCATCTACTTTCACATGTGTCCTTCCCCTTCCTTTTATTCTCCCCTCCCTTGGTGCACACACACTGTTCCCACGGGTGTCTAAAGAGTCAGGGGGGAATGGGGAAACAGCAGGAGAAAAACATTGAAGTAGGGAAGGTCAGTGGCTCTCTGGCAGGTCCCTGACAGATATTTTTTTTCCCACAGCAGCTCACCTTGGGACCAGTCTTCTCCATGTATCCCTCCTTCAGGAAGTTTCTTGTCAGCCGATTTTTAATCTGACAAAAAGGCAACAGTAACATCCACTTAGCCACATTTCTTTGCCATTCGCTTTCACCCCCCACCCTTCCTTCTATTCCCCCAAATTCAGCTGCCTTTTAAATTCATGTTTGCAGAACTGCCTAGCCAGGAGTCACTTCTGTCTCCAAAGTGCCCAGAAACAGCAGAGAGCAGTTGTTCTCTGACCACTGCAGGCCCTTGTACACACACTTCCTCATCCCTCTATCTAAACACTGTAATTTCCACTTCTGTACCTGGGGATCTAATAGTAACTAATGGGCTCTTTTATCACATAACCGAGTACCAGCGGGAGTCTCAGCACTGCGCTCTAGTGCTGCCTTACCTCATTATCGCTGGCAATGGGAAATGCTACCTTCAGATAATGGAACTGCACAGAGCGAATGGCATTGAACCAGTCCACTACCTCCTGAGAACGGAAAAGGACAGAACAGAAAGCTTAGCCAGAGCAACAGTGAGCCATCTAAATTCACCCAGCTGCACCCAACCCTATGTTAACTACAAACGCAGCCAGCTCTCCCTCCCCAGCACCTACAGCATCTCCTTCACACACACAGAGCCAGCATGGCTGCCCCATTCCCCACATGCACAGGCAGCACATCTGCACATCTTCTGTGGCAGCTCCTCCCACACAAATTGACTCAGCCAGTGCTTCTGCCCTACTCCCTGCAGCAAAACTCTCTCACAGACACACAAACACAGAGCCAGAACTCCCACCCTGTTACCTACAGCAACTCACACACACTCCCCGCCATCCTACCCATGCTTCAGACTATTTAATACCAGCAGCTCCTCAAATCACCTCAATTGCTTTGCAGTGTTTGATGCTAAAACAAGATACCTTTCCACTTTCATGGTAGACAAATATATTCCGGGTCTTGTTGTCTTTGAGATAGGTGATCTGCAGGCCATTGGGGTTCCCAATCTTCACTGGTTGGAACGTAGCATTGATGACATCTATTTTAACATTGATTTTGGGTTCTTTGGCCTGAGAACAGAACAGCATTGGTCATGCATGAGCAATCCTAGTGGGAAAGAGACCTGAGCTGACTTAGTGGGGTAAGGCAGGGTCAGAGGGTGCTAAAAGGTAATAACTGCCCCTTCCCAACAAAACTGTTGTAGCACACACTCCCTTCACTGTGTGGCATGCTCAAGCCCAAACAGTGGCCCAGGACCTCCAATTTAGATTTGAGCTGTGCCTGCTATGGAACTGCCAGTGAGACACTAAGAGTGCATCTGACTTTACAGCTGAGCCAGTCTAAAGGCTAACTGACCCCAAAAGGAAAGACCCCACTCCTGCTCTTCCCTACCCCAAGCCATTCCCTCCCTTGCAACAGTATACTAGCACTTGCCCCATTCATTTCAGTAAGATGAACTAGCAGAAGAGTAGCCCTCCTCAAAACAAACCAAACAACAGTTTTTTGCCAACTTGGCTCACAGTGGGGTGAGGCTGTTTCCAGGGATGGTGCAGGATTACACGGCCAGGCAAACGGATACAGGTAAAGTGCAATATCAGCCCTTTTATCAGCAGTGAGGGAAAGGTGCAGGGAAGCACAAAGGGAGGACATGGGGAAAATGTGACCCTGACAGTAGGAAGGGGATCCCTCTCCTCAGTTACGTGTTTCTGTTATCATCCCTGGCCTGGGATAAGCAAGGCAACCTCAGAAACATGCGTAGAAAATAGAAACGTCTCCCTGACCTCACTACCCTGGGTGGAGTATGCACTGAGGTGGGAGTTGATCACCATACTCACATCCTGCTTGGTGAAATACTTCAGGCATCCCTCTCTTTCAGACAAGAAGAACTTGCGGGGTAGGAACTGCCCGTTGTCTCGGCCTCGCTTCCAGAGGATGCCTTCCTTCACCCCTAGGAGCAGAAAGGCCACTTTTAAGAGCATTCCCCCAAAGGCACGGTAGGCATCAGACAGCTGCATGAGCCCGGGGTCCCAGCCACACCTCTGGGATAAAGCACATGATGGACTATTGCTGAGAACAAACGCCTGAGAAGGAGAGGTCTCACCTCTGACTTACAACTGAAGACGGTGGTGTTCCTGGGTTTGCAGCCCAGATAAACGGTCACCAAAAGACATTCCCAGATGCTTCCCACCTCCTAGTCCGGCTCCCACTACTGCCTCTGACAGTGTGAGAGCCATCTCTCTGGTGAACACCAGAGTCCTGGCTCATGCAGACCTGGCATGGGACCAGAACTCTTCCCACTTAACTCTGCGGGCCCTTGGGCTCCAGCGCCTTGTGTCACAGCACTGGCAGTGACATTTCAAAGACAACTGCTGTGGTTGGAGGGGGGTGGCATGCAGCAGGACAGAAATTCCTTACTGCAGAGGTGTGGCTCCACCAGGACAGCAAATGCCTTCGAAAAATGCCAGCTGGTAATACCAGGCTTGGAAGCAACCCATGGCAGTGCTAACCTATGCTGCCCACAATTTAAACGCTCCCAAAACAATGCCCTGTAAGTACTAGCTGGGTTCTCAGGAGTACGTGTGGGATTTGCAACACCGACACCATGATCTTTCTCCTCATGGTGCTCAAAAGCTTCCAGTGAAGGCAACAGGCAGGATATTTTGATGTTGTGCTCTGCTCTTACCATCAGAATATGGCAGCTGTTTTCCCGGCTTGGTGAACTCTTTGCGTTCATATTTGGCCCGTATCCACTGTTCTCTCAGCACTCTGGGGAGAGAGGTGACAGGTAGCTCAGAAACGAACTAGTGGAACCCAGAACTGCCCTTCCCCCTTTTTTTCTGTGTGCAGCAACTTACTGGCAGTCATTGTATGTTGGCTGGTAATAGTAAATAGGGATGTGAGCTTCGTACGTGGCTTTAGTCACAGCATTCCCATGCTTGGCCAGAAACTGCAGAGTTAGACAGAGAGTTAGTGCCTTCCCTTTGATGCAGACTCATGTTGGGCTTTTTCTTCCCTGACCCACTACAGGGCTAGATGCACATTGAGCTCTAATAGAGCATTCTCTTTCTTGTCCATTGCAACATCCCAGCAAAGTCTGGCTACAGAAAGGTGGGTCTCAAAGGCCTTGTCTACTCTCAGAAGTTACACTGATTGCACCTGAATCAACAGTGCACACACATTCAGTGGATTTGCTGCCATGCCCCACATCTCCGGGGAGACTGAGTTCAATGGCAGCTCTGCAGTGCCGTCTGGGAGGACATTCCAAACCTCTTCGCTCCTCTCCAAAGAGCAGCGAGATACAGATTATTTTATTTGGATCTCTGGGAAATTTTTTAAGTCCCCTGAAGATTAATGGGTTGAAGGCTGTGTAACAGGGAGAAGTCAAGTTCCCATAAATGCCATTTTTCTCAAGAGATCACATTATATCTGGAAACTCTTTTCGGAGCATGGAATTGCCCAAGATTTCCCCCTCGAACTGCTGAAACCAAGAGGAGACATTGAGGCTGGATGGTGCTGGCGAGTGGGAAATGAGTAATCTGGAGCAACAAAGGCCCTGAGCCTTGGCAAGATACATTGCAAGAGCTCTGCATTTGCCATAAAGTAACAGGACATGGGGAGACACATAAGGCAAGTGCATCATCCCTCTCCCAGTGGGTTATGGGGAGTTATCCTCTCTTAAGTATCCAGAGCATGAGTAGCAAAGGGACTACGTATCAGATTAAATCTCCAACTCTGTGAGGCCAAAGGGCTGATTTTCCCAGGACATGTTAGTGTATGGCCTAGACCCAACCCACCTGACGCACCAGTGGGGATAAAATCTCACCTGCACCTGAGCATCGTCCCAGTGGTCCATCTTCAGGGATTTGACTTTGCTGATGCTAGGGATGTTGCGGTGAATTCCTGAGCAGCTGAGGCATATAAAGACACCCAAAGTAGAGGATGCCCAGTCAGGATCTGAGGGTATAAAAAAGGGTATGACTAGAGGTGGTAAATTCCCCTGGAAGATATGCCTCAACTGAGAACATAGTCTGGAGAAACAGAGAGCTGGGTGACTAGTTTCATCTGAGCTGATTAATTAACACCCAAGGCAGGAAAAAGCATAGCTATTAGTCCCTCATTCCCACTGCTTCAACCACTTCATCTGAATCTCTATCGACCTGAACCTTGAAAAACTCTGAAGTGCTGTGCAAACTCCCTTTGCATAAAGGGTCACCCAAGATGAAACTGAAACCACCTCTGGGAAAAGACTCCAGGAACAACACAGCAAACCCCCAAGAGTGTTTAGCTCTGGAAGTGGAAAGCAGCCTTGAATCCAAAATTTTCCAGGGAGAATTTAAGAAGGTAAAATGGTACTAATTAGCCCAGTCTTAATTTGGCTTGGGTAGTACACTCCATGTGCCCCTTTTGGGAGGAGTACGATGGGTGTTTTTAGCAGCGCCTGTAGGACCGCAAACTGGATACCCTTTCGAGAGGGCAAGCCCTTCAGTAAAAGAAATCTCCAAGGCGCCTGTGGCAGGTTGTCGGTTCATAGCTGAGTCACGGAGGAGACAATGCCCTCCTGAATCATGCCTTCTTTCTGGAGCAGTTAGGATTTCACCGGGAGCTTTCCTGTCAGGTCCTGACTAGGCATGACCTTGATTTGTATTTGAGATCTGACACAACTACAACCCACAGTGCTGCAGCTACACAGCCCCTACTCATCTGGCACTACCGTGTCCCCGTCCTTCTTCTGTGGCAGCATCTCCTTCCTCCTCCCTTGCCAACTCACCTCCAGGGAGAGGAAGCGAATATCCAGACAGAGCAATGCCTCTCCTCCCTCTCTGCCCCAGGCTCCTGTGCAGTCAGATAGCCGGCACCAAACTGCTGCTACAGACCAGCCCCAGCTCCTTGCTTCTGGCTCTTCCTCCAGCAGCCCTCAGGGACTCACCTGGCTTCCCGCAGTCTGCGCACAAAGAGTTTTCCGCTCTCCTCCACACCTCCTTCAGGGCCTTCATGCTCCTCTCGTTGCCTCCAGCCATCACGTCCAAATGCTATCCCTCTGGGCAGGGACAGGGCCAGGAGGGCAGCTGCCTGCACCTTCTGCACCTGTGACCCAACCTGCTGGGTTGCCCAAGGGAGAAGGAGCCACCAGAGAGCCAGAAGTTCTTGCAGATGGAGGAAAAAGGGTAAGGTAGGAGAAGCCGAAAGGTTAATGGAAGGAGTGTGGAGGCCTGACAGCGCACCTGAGATGGCTGAGCGCAGGCAGGGACGAAGAGGCTGGAGGCTGAAGTGCACCCACACTGTGAGTGAGGAGGAGGAGGAGGAGACCTGCCCCATGGGCGTGGAGGGAAGTACAGCAATTAACCACAGAACTGGTTTTTCCGCATTTCTGCTGGTGAAAGGACAGGCCAGGAAAAAAGGCAAGCAGCAAGAGAGCTGATAAAGGCGAGGCAGCCCTGGACAAGCGGCCGACAGGCCATGTCAGGACTTGTCACGCTCTGTGGGCTGGGGGGGTTGGCTTTGGCTGGCCCCACAGCGCTTCAGGAGCTTCCACCAAAGTCAGCTGGCCACCACACAAGCATTACACCCATTTTTAGGGTGAGGACTGGAGGGCAAGAAAGGTTCAAGCATTCAGCCGAAGTCACTCAAGCCAGCAGCCAAGAGCACAGCAGTCCTGATGCCCACACCTACTCATGCCAGTACTGACCACAGAAACCACAGCTGTTCGGCCAGGTCCTGCATCTCGGAGACTTAAGTCTCAGAGCCAAGACCCATCCCCACACTTGCCTCCCCCGGCTAAGAGCAGCACAGGTACCACTGACACGAAGCAATGACAATAGCTTGAAATAAACTTTCAGACCTTTACTGAAGAAATGTAGATGTTAAATATTTGGAGGAACAACCTTTATTAAAGATATTAAAGATATGCAGATGTAAAATACTCAGAGCAGTGGCAGCGCCAGTCTCAGGACGAGAGATTGGGTGTGATGCTGGCTGCACAAGCAGCACCGTAAGAGCCTTTTGCCAGGAGGGAGCTGAAGAGGAGCGGGAGCTGAAGGCACGCAAGCCTAAAGGAGCCCCCTGCCCACCCCAGGCTGGGTGCCAGGGCTGGTGGCAGACACCTGCAAGGTCCATGACAGCAGCTTCTCTCTCTTGGCCTCAGCTTGGGGGAAGTGTACCAGGAGCAGGTGAGGGGACACACAAAGGTTCCACACACCGGTGGGACAACAGGACCCAATGCCGGCCCCACTCTGCTCCTTCAAGCCACCCCGCAGCCAAGGCGGTGGCTCTGGCGTGTCCTCCCTCCCACTCACCCCACAGCCCACCGGCGGTGATGCTCGGTGCTCCCCCACACCCTGGGGCCGTTCTGCCCTCAGCCCAACAGCGGCTCAGCCGACAAGAACACCCCGCTTAAGACCTCACAGAAAAACCAGCCCCTGAACCCCCTCGCCCGGCGAAGCGCGGGCG